CACCACGCGCCCGACCGAAGAGAGGGGGGAGAGGGACAGGAAGTACTCCGAGCACCTCTGAGGCTCCTCACCCTCCTCCTAGCTCTTGAACTTGTTCTAGCTTTTGTGCCCTCGTCCACCCTCGAACTTCGCTCCCTGGCCCTCTGTTTTTCCCGGTGTTTTTTCGTGTCCTTGTCGGGCCTTCGGTGGTTCGGTCGTCTGGGTTTCGTCCTTGGGCATTCGAGGGTGGACAAAACTTTTTAACGGGGGGTCGACCCTGTGCCATGCAGGTGCGAGGCGGCCTCTCAGTCTTCCACAAACGAGAGTGCCGCAGATCGCCAGAGCAGTCCTCCTGCCAGCACGGCAGGATTGCAAAGTCCCCTGATGGGTCCTCAGGGCTTAGTAGCAAGCAGATTGTAGTTGTAAACTGATGCGAAGGTATCAGGAGTGGCCCAGGCTTCTCACGAGTGGACAATCTGACTTAATGGCCCCAGAGCTCGATTCAATTCGATTCCTCCTCCTTCTCCTCCCTCCTCCATGCCTCCCTTCTCCCATTCCTGCGCCTTCTCTCCACATGCACACCCCTCACAAGCTTCGTGACCCTGTACGAAGTTCCAATTGAGGCCCCAGTGACAGGGTTCGCATGGCGGCACCGCCCCATTCTGGCACACCCCTCGCACGTTGTTGGCCCCACAGGGAGTTTCCCACCCTGCGTCCCACATGCCTTGCGGTACTCACGCCTGCATCTGGGGGAGTCCTTCGCCACGATAACCGTCTCCCGTGGATTTCCTGGGTATGCCCGATGTTATGTGGTTATTTCGCTGGTCTCAACGGTTGTCCTGTGGATGTTATGTCGTTGGCTTGCGGTTGTTCCGGATTCATCCGCTAGTTGCTTCGATGGTTGCTATGATGTTTGCCCCGAGGTTGTTCCGTGGTTGTCGTGTGGTTGTTGCGTTGGTTGATCCGACGGTTGTTCCGACGTTTGAGGTTGTTTTGCGGTTGTCACGATGGTTGTTCTGTGGTTGCTGTGTGGTTGTCCCGCAGTTGCACCATGATTGTCCCAATGTTGCCCCGCGGTTGCCTTGTAGTTGTCCCGCGGTTGCACCGTCGTTGTTTTGTGGTTGTCCTGTTGTGGTCCCATGGTTGTCTTGCGGTCGTCCAGTGGGGTCTCCCGTGGTTTCCCAACATTTCTATGTGTTGGGTCCTCGCTTTGAATCCGCAGCGCCGCGCGTCTCCTCACTCCTCCTCATCCCACCTCTTCGTCTCTCCTCAGCTTCCTCCTCATCCTCCTCGTCCCTCCTCTCATCTCTGCTGCGTTTGCTGCGATCCTTTCGGCGCAGTCCGCAGACGCTTCCTGACCCTTAGGAAACTCCACCGAGGGCCCCAGAGGTTATACGTTCGCACGGCGCCGCTCCTGCCCATATCATATCGGCACACCCCTCGCACGCGATTCGACCCCATAAGGGAGCTCCACCGTGGATCCCAGCGGGTTCCATCGCATCGCACCGCCGGCCAGTTTCGGCGCTCTCCTCGCGCATTTCCTGGCTCCGAAGGTCCCAGCGGGTGCGTTCGCATGGCGTCGCCCCGCCTAAAACGGCTCATCCCTCACACGTTGTTTGCCCCTAGGGAGCTCCACCGAGGGCCCAAGTGCGTTCGCATGGCGTCGCCCCGCCCATGCTGGCACACCCCTCACACGTCCTATGGCCCCATAAACAGCTCCACCGAATGGCCCGGTAGATCTGTTCGCATGGCGCCGCCCCGCCCATATCGGCACACCCCTCATACAGTCGGGGCCCTGAAGAAGGAACCCTTTTCGTTGGGGAGGGGCTCCGTGTTCCTTGAGTGTTTCACAGCTTGCCTCAGGTTTTCCTCATGTTTTCGATCGGAAATCGAAGTTCAACTTATGGAAAAAAGGGGCCTCGTTCCTTGTTTAGGGTTCCTTAGGTCAAGGCCCCGACTGTACGTTCCGTGACTCTCTAGGGAGCTCCGTCGAGGGGCCCAGTTGGTGCGTCCGCACGGCGCCGCCCCGACCGATTTCGGCGCACCCATCACACGCTGCGTGGCCCGAGAGGGAGCTCCACCGAAAGGCCCCAGTGGATGCGTCCGCATGGCGCCGCCGTTTTCCCGCAGCACTTGTCCTTACGTGTCGTTTGGACTGCGGTCGTCGTTCTGCCCCGCTGGTACACTTAGTTGCGTTATGTGTTGACTGTTGTTGTTGCGTCTTCCCCGTGTCGCCAGTGTGTGCATGTGTATGTGCCCATGTGTTTTCTCTGTGCCCCGCCGCTTCTTCGAATCAACGTGTCCTCCCACTGATGCCATCCTTGTGCCAGTATGGTACTGCGTGTCTATGCCGTTCTCGCATGCCCAGTTCGTGTGCATTGCCACTCGCCACATTCTGTTTATCATGGTAATATGCAAGTTTCTGTCGGTTGGCCATTAGGCGAGAGTCGTTATCGTCGATGCGTGAAATTTGGTGTGGATTGCATTCTTAGGATGGTAATGAGATAGATATGGAGACTGTCAGACAGGAAGATCGAAGTATTGATATCGAGACCGATCCGACGTCAATCGCAATTCCAAATCTGCACCCATCCTTCCCCGCCCTGAACAAAATATCATTATCACCCGAAGAACTGCCCCATCGGTAGCCGAGTAAGCTCGAGAGAGCTTTGGGGTGTTATCACTTCCTTGCCTGTAGATTTGATGTGCTTCTGGATATGTAACATTTGAACTCCGTTCGGAAAGGTCGTGATCGTTGCGTTGACCCCATTATTGGGCCACTCGAAGCGTCGGTTCCCAAGTGTAGCGATGTGTTTCACTTGTGCCCAGCACGGTCGTGCACCCCTCTGCACAACATGCGCAGAGAGAGAGGGCCGACACTGCAGGCTGTGGCGAGTAATGGGCTGACCATTGCCATGCATCTGCAGCAGGTGAAGAAAAAACACTGCGTGAGCACCTCTCTTGCCAGCAAGCCGCTCCCCCCTTTCCAGGGAGAGTACACACGTGTGGTAGTTGACAAGATCACTGGTCAGAAGCATGGTTGCAGGGGGTTTGGCCTGCCTTGTGGCCATCGGCCGCGTGCCCTGGAACACATGTGCATAACGCCTCATGGTCGAGCGGGGGAGCTCGCGATGGGCAAGGGAACCGCGAGTTTGAGCGACCACGATGGCTCCATGAGAAGATCACGCGAAGGGCATTCGGCGGCGAGCGAGGGAGGGGGAGTTCGACATTCGATGTTCGATGTTTTTCAGGGGCACCGTCGGCTCTCGGCAGCTTCCATGCCCCGGGATGTTTTCCAGCGGCTGCGCCTCGCCGAGAGCGTTTCGGGGATGCCCGGATCGTCCCGAACGGCCGCCGGAAACCCGAGTTATGACCCGAAAATTGAATTCGCGGGAGAACGACATTGGACATTGGTAGGGGGATAGACATGCAAGAGCAAGAAGTGTCCTGATTAGAGCGAGGGGAGGGAGTGAAAGTTTGAGAGGGAGAGAGAGGAAAGGCGGGGGAGGGAGAGGGAGGGGGAGCGAGAGGGGAAGGACGAGATGGTCGCGGACGCTCAGAAGTAGCAACGCAGGGATAACACAAATACATGCGTTGGAAGTTCAGGCGACACACGCTGCCACACGTCCTGCTGGGCCCCACTGCGTTCGAGCGAAAAAACATAACTCAGATGTGTTTGCAGTCGTCTGGTATTGCGAAGTGCTCAACGGAGTAAGCTGGCAAACCAGGCGCCGACGAATGAACAATTTGCGTTTGGAGGCTCGTTGGCGTATCGAGCAAGCGCAGCTATTCGCCGTGGGTCGGACAGGGAGAAGGGCGTGCGTGCGAACGTGGCGGTGCAGCGTGTGCGAAGCAGGGCCGGGAGGAGCAGGAGGAGAGTTTGAAAGCCGTGTTCGGGTAATAATAAATTGGCAGCGCCCTTCAGAGTCTGTGTCCGCCTCCCTCCTCCTCCTCCTCCTCCTCCTCCTCCTCCTCCTCCTCCTCCTCCTCCTCATCCTCCCTCTCATCCTCATCCCGATCCAACTGTCCCCCCCCCCACCCCGATCTCCTCGTCCAGGACGCACTCGACGTGCCCGTGCAGCAGGAAGCAGGTGTCCGGGGCATCCTGGGGCGCGGAGGAGGGAGGAGGGAGGAGGAGGAGGCTTCCTTGCGGCCACGCGCGAGGAGGAGGAGGAGGAGGCTCCCCCCCGCAGGGCCGTCCTGCGAGGCGCGACAACAGCGCATAGCGTCCAGCGCCATGCCTAGAAGGTGGACGTCGCAGCGCGCTCCCGCAGGGGCGCCGGTCTTCGGGCCGCTCCTCGGGTCTACAGGTCGGGGAACTCACTGCTCGAGGCCGAGGCCCGCCGCGGACCAGGGAAGCTGCTCTAGGGGGCCACGTGCGAGCCCTACCCCTACAGTCGGGGCCCTGAAGAAGGAACCCTTTTGGTTGGGGAGGGGCTCCGCGTTCCTTAAGTGTTTCGCAGCTTGCCTCAGGTTTTCCTTGTGTTTTCGATCGGAAATCGAAGTTTAACTTATGGAAAAAGGGGGCCTCGTTCGGTATTTTGGGTTCCTTAGGTCAAGGCCCTGACTGTACCCCCCACGATTTCTGAGGGGGAGGGCGGGTTTCACTTCGCGAAGTGAGCCCCGCCCTCCCCCTCAGAAATCGTGGGGGGTAGGGGTAGGGTTCGCACGTGGCCCCCTTATGCTCCTTCCCGACTCGGTGTGCCCCTCGTGGCCAGCACGATGGCTGCAGTGCCTGCGCCGCGTGTGGCCTTCGCCGCGTGTGGCGTCGTGCTGACGCGTCCGCTCCCCCTCCTCCCTGTCCAGGTTGCACCTGAGGAGGAGGAGGAGGAGGAGGAGGAGGAGGAGGAGGAGAAGGAGGAGGAGGAGGAGGGAGGAGGGAGGAGGGAGGAGGGAGGAGGGAGGAGGGAGGAGGGAGGAGGGAGGAGGGAGGAGGAAGGAGGGAGGAGAAACAAAGCATGGCTGCAGTGCCGACCGCCCCCGCCCCCCCGCGGCCGCACGCCGCCCGGCCGGCCTCTCGCAGGGGCGGGGGGTCGCCCACACAGTGCCTCGCCCTGCGCTGGTACGCGCCGCACCGTACACCTCGCACCTCCTCTGCCGCCATGGACGTGATGGCGCCAAGCGGCGCGCCCCCCAGGCCAGGCCGCTCTCGCCCGTGGCACCGCTCCTCCTCGGCCTCTTCTCAGGCAGCGTCGAAGCGCCCTGGCATGCCGAGAGGCCCACCAAAGAAGGTTCTAGGAACTTGCGTGCGGTTTGCACGAAGTGCTCTTAGCTCATTTCTGGCTGGGACTGCTTGGTTGTTGTACATCCGCTTCATGTTGTAAGAACTTTGTTTTGTAACTGTACGGCTTTTAGTTCTGCGAACACTGCGTGGTAGGCCTATCGGAATGCCGGGACGGTCGGTCCCTGCTCAATCTTCGCCCCCCTGCCAGAAGATGCGTCACACCGTGGGGAGCTCCCGACAGCGTTCCCCAGACCAGCTTTTCCGTCGCGCAGCAGCGGGCCGCAAAAAAGCCCCAGGAGATCCAAGTGGCCTTCCAGACAAACAAACGCCGTGATCCTGAGGGGAGAGACGAGAAGAGGAAGGAGGATGGGAGTCAGAGAGACGAGAAGAGGAGACGAGAAGAGGAGGGGACGAGAAGAGGAAGGAGAAGGAGGAGTAGGAGGCGTCCAAGTAACAACAAGAACCCCATCTTAGGATATGGGAAAAAAACGCCGTGATCCTGCGCTGTCTGAAGGGTTGCGTCTCCGCCCGAGTCTCCCCGCGTCTGCTGGCAGTGGTTGCCAGGGCCAGCCTCCGCCTCTGCCCAGGGGGCGACGCCAGCCCTGGGCGGCTGACCCTGCAGAGGCCCAGGCCCATGCCGTGGCCATGGAAGGCCATCTTGGAGGTGGTGGCGCCCGTGTGCCAGGACCCAGGGAGGAAGAGACCGTGGTAATGTGTTGCTTCCGCCCTGGATCTTGGCGCCCAGCGGCCCCCAGCGATCCCACGGCCCCAGGATGCTTCTGGAGGTCTCCAGAGGCCCATAGAGGGCCCACACCGTCCAAACAAGTGCCCACCGCGTCAGACCGATCCGTTCGAGCTTCGAAGGTCAGGAGCCAAAGTTTCGCAGTGGGAGTAGGGGGAGGAGGAGGACGACGACAAATCATGTGTGTGGATTCGTTGACGTGCTTGGTTCAGCTCGCCGCAGCGTGAGGGCTTCCGCCATGGTCGAGATGATTCCCAGAACATGCGCGATATTCCCTTCAGCCGGGTTTTGTTGTGCCACAGGTGCAGCCGCACTTTTGCTCGTGGAGCTTTCAGATGCTGCTTCCACGTCCCAGGAGCTGGCACAGGCGAGAGATTCGACTGGACTGGCGGGCTGGCCCCTGGATCACACCTTGCGCTCGGATTCGTTCCCCCCGCAACCGCCTCTCTACTTGTTCCCTGGTTCTGCGGCGGGCTTGCAGTTTGATGGAGTAGAATCAGGTGGGAAGACTGACCACCGCTTTCTGATCCACGCGGGAGGGTGCTCCCCCGCCCATTGGGAGGGGGAGGAGGAGGAGGAGGAGGAGGAGGAGGAGGAGGAGGAGGAGGAGGAGGAGGAGGAGGAAGAGGAAGAGGAAGAGGAAGAGGAAGAGGACCAGTGTAAACCTAAGATGCATCAGCGACGCTGCAACGTACGCTCCCTTCAAGCTCCCTCTGTATAGGTTCGTACAGATTATACCTTCATTACGGGAAATGCCCCCGCTGGGAGACAACAGTTTACTTCAACATCGCGAATCAACGTGCTTCTTCGGGCCTGGCAATCCTGAACCGCGCCAGAACAAGAACACCACTCCTGGAAAGTATACCATACTAGTCCGTGGGACTGTTGTACACGTTTGAAACGAATGTGCGAGACGTCGCGGCGAGAGCCACCTTTTGAAACGGAGCCGCCTTCCATCCCTGAAGATGTTTGAACTCGTGCCACGAGTGTGCGCGGCGCTACAGCGAGAGCCACATGTTGAAATCGAGCTGCCCTCCATCCTTGCAGCTGGTGCTACGCTGGGGGCGAACATGCGCGCGGCGCTCGGGCGAGAGCCACCGTTTGAAGAGGAGCCGCCCTCCATCCTTGAACCCGGTGCGAATTGCAAGCTTCAGGAGCATAAGTCGTGATGAGGTCTCGGGTGACACGCCGTGCCCGCCCGACCGGCACATCTAGGGGGTGCGACAAGGACAAGTGTTTGGCAAGGGAACGCGATTGAGGAGGGGAAGGAGAAGGAGGAGGAGGAGGAGGAGGAGAAGGAGGAGGAGAAGGAGGAGGAGGAGGCGGAGGAGGAGGAGGAGAAGGAGGAGGAAGAGAAGGAGGAGGAGGAGGAGGAAGAGGAGGAAGAAGAGGAGGAGGAGGAGGAGGGGTCCGTAGCCATTTTGGCTCAAGGCGTTCTGGGCTCTCCAGGGTAGGGGGGTCTTGTGCGTACATGTTTCAGAGCGCCGTGTACGCACGGGCACTGGCAACGTCTTTCCCTTGCTGGGGACAAGATCCCTAACAGTCCCAGCTCTCC